CTGGTCTTGGACCCAGGACAGATGGTGTGGATGCTCAGGATGGGGGTGGGGCAGGCACAGAGCCTGGTGGGATTGGCTCCCAGCCAGATCAGGAGGACATATTGGGGGTTAGGGAGGGTAGGCAGGGCCTTGCTGCTCCCTGAAGCCTGGAAGGCTGAGCTCTGAGGTCCGGCTCCTAAGGGCAGAATGATGTAATCTCTCAGACCCCCCAAGGGCATGCTCAAGTCTGCCTCTTGGGATCCTGGAGGGAGAGCCTTCCTGCACCCTCATGGCCCAGGGGTTCCCTGAGTTCTGCACACATACAGACACCAATGGGGTAAGGTCCTCTTTACCCCCCGACACAGCACCTCTCCCTCTGTCCGTGCCCCCAGACCCCAAGGTGAGGGCTGACCGAGGGTGGCTCGCGTCTCCTGAATGGTCAGGAGGGGGGCCTGGAGGCTCACACGACCGTCTGAGGGGAGAACGGATCCAAAGTCAGTCCGATCAGGAGGGTGTGTGGCCTCGTCTCGGTCACAGGCCCCAAGCTCCAGAATGGTCTGCTCTGCCCCAGTCCTCTCCCAGGGCCCTGCTCCCTACAGCACAGAAACAATGGGGTCCGGGGTCCAAAGCGCCTGTCCCACCCTAAAGTCAGTCCCGCTCTTTGCGTTCACCCTGCCCACGACAGCTGTGTCTCACACGCCTCCTCCACCTCGGTCTCTGCCTTCCTGCCTCCTTCCCCCGCCACTGGCGGTCCTCCTGCCGGCTCCTTGCCCTCTGGATCAATGCCTGAGCTCCAGCCCCGCCTCTGTCTCTAAACTGTGGCCCCTTCCACTGTGGCCTCGACCATGTCGGGGGCAGGGGCTGGCCTCATGCTTCTCTCTGCCCCCGCCCCCTCCTTACAGTCTCCATCGAGGACATCCAGGAGGTACGGATGGGACACCGCACGGAGGGCCTGGAGAAGTTTGCCCGGGACGTGCCCGGGGACCGCTGCTTCTCCATTGTCTTTAAAAACCAGCGAAACACACTAGACCTCATCGCCTCGTCACCAGCTGACGCCCAGCACTGGGTGCAGGGTCTGCGCAAGATCATCCATCACTCAGGCTCCATGGACCAGCAGCAGAAGCTGCAGCAGTATCCTTTTGGTGGCAGGGGGACCCGGCCCAGCCTGGGGATCTGGCAGTGGTTGTCCCCAGGTCAGCCTGGGTATGGAAGATACCCGGCTCAGACCATCATACCAAAGTAGCACAGATTCGGTTAAACAGCATAAATACCTTTTCTCACAGTTCTGGAGGTTGGAAGTCCGAGATCAGGGGGCCAGCATGGTGAGAGCGCTTCTCCTAGCTTCTGGATGGATGTCTTCTTTCTCACTGTGTCCTCACACGGCAGAGAGAGAGAGGGAGAGAGAGCAAGTTTTCTGGTGTCTCTTCTTATAAGGACACTAATTCCATCAAGAGGGCCCCACCTCATGACCTCATCTAAACCTCCCAAGGCCCCATCTCCAAATACCATCCTATTGTGGGTTAGGGCTTCAATACACACATTTTGGGGCGGGGGGGACATAATTCAGTCCCTAGAAGAAGGGAAGCAGGGGAGGCATCTGGAGCCCTTTTTGGTCCACTCTGACCCAGGCACCAGAGAGCTATGCAGCCCCCCTCCTGCACCATGCCCCCCCGCTTCCCCCGCCTGTAACCAGTGCGGAGCTGGGAGGCTGAGGAGAGTCGCCTGCTTCAGTGGGAGACCTAGTCTCTGGTATTTAAATCACCTATTTCTCAAGGTCAAGGCTGACGGGACAGAGGATAGAGGTCAGAGAGACGTGGGGGTTAGTGCCCCATCATGACAACATGATCAGTGGCTTGAAATTTGCTGTTTCCTATAAAGTAAGCCCCAAGTGCTTTAGTCGAGTTGGCTAACAGTTATATATTGAAAATGAGAGGACAGACCTTGAAATATTAACAGGGTTATCCCTGAGGCTATGGGGGATTTGTTTATTTTTCTTTATTTTCTACATGATCTACAATAAATCCTTTTATAGAAAGGAAATAAATATTTTTAAAACTGGAAAGGGTTCAAAGCCAGCTAATAGGAAAAAGACCCCGTGCTAGGATGTAACATTTCCACTCAAGAGGCCACCAGGTCCTGCCCCTGGGATTCGGATTCCAGTAAGTGGGGCCTGCAGGGAGCCGTGTCTACAGTGGCCTCAGTCTGCCTGGGCCCAGGAGTCGATATTGGGCTTGAACCATGGCTCTGGCTGGGGCTCTGGGGGGACGTGGGCTCCTGGGTTCTTTCCTTACTTCTTGCCCAGCTGGATTCACTCCTGCTTGCGAAAAGCTGACAAAAACAAGGATAACAAGATGAGCTTCAAGGAACTGCAGAACTTTCTGAAGGAGCTGAACATCCAGGTGGACGACAGCTATGCCCGGAAGATCTTCAGGGTGAGGCAGCAGGGAGCCCTGGCCGTCGGGTCCTTGGCCCTGGGCCAGGGCCAGCGCTGAGCCTGCCCATGGGGCTGTCCTGGCTTTGCAGGAATGTGACCACTCCCAGACAGACTCCTTGGAGGACGAGGAGATTGAGGCCTTCTACAAGATGCTGACCCAGCGGAAGGAGATCGACCGCACCTTCGAGGAGGCTGCAGGCTCGGGGCAGACCCTGTCCGTGGACCAGTTAGTGACCTTCCTGCAGCACCAGCAGCAGGAGGAGGCGGCCGGGCCTGCCCTGGCCCTCTCCCTCATTGAGCGCTACGAGCCCAGCGAGACTGGTGAGGGCCACACCCGGCTGGGAGACCCCTGGGGACACTGCAGTCCCAAATAGGGAGCTGCAGGAACGGGGGTGCCTCGGGACCCCGCCAGGATTTGCCGGCCCATGAAAGCAGGCAGACGGCAGACAGGGCTCCAGCCTCAGTTCCTCCTTCAGGGGGTTCTGAGGACCCCTCTCCCAGGAAAGAGGAGAGGAGACTGGGCAAGCAAACACTGTCCCTGCTTCCCCCTTGATGCCCATCCTGGGCCCACCTTTGAGACCCGGCCCTGTCCTGGAGGGGGCCCCGGGGCGCAGGCACAGAGCCGGAGGAGGTGAAGTCCTGTCCTCAGGGCCTCCCAGCGTGGGGGACAGAACAGGAGAAGACAGGGCCCCGGAGGTGGCTGCGGGTGGGGGGCTCTGACGGGTGCCCGCCTCCCTCCCAGCCAAGGCCCAGCGGCAGATGACCAAGGACGGCTTCCTCATGTACCTGCTCTCGGCCGACGGCAGCGCCTTCAACCTGGCGCACCGGCGGGTCTACCAGG